TTGGATTATCTAAGCCTCACTTGCATCCTAATCTTTTTTAACCTTGAGTTCTTCTATCTCATTCTGAAACTCTCCTTTCTCAAAGTAAATTTCAATAATCTCCTCAATCATTATGGATGTAACTAAATTTAGTTTGATGCTTAATCCTTAATCACCTTAAAGTGTTCTTATTTTGTTGTAGTTGATCTCTAATCTCTAATTTCTCCTTCTCTAAGGCCTTCATTATTTAGTCTCGGGCTTCTAACTTCTCTTCTAACATCTTCTTATTTCTTTTCACCTCTTTCATTTTGGAGTTCAGCTTTCATGATAGATTTTATGCTGGGCATTCACTTCATGGTAGATAACTTGAATGGTCTTGCTTGTTAGTTTTGATGGACCTTCAAAAAGTGGGTTTCAATACCCTTTTTCCTTAGTTTGTTACCATTTTAGTAACTAGAAGAAGTCTTCCCTTCAATTCTCCTTGTAGTAGTGAAATTTCCCTTATATCATTAGGCTTTCTTGGCTTCTTCTAGAAGTTTTTTGGAAGTTATAAAGTCTTCATAAAATTTAACTAGTTTGGTAGTCCTCGAAATGAATTTCTTGAACCTCAATTATCTTGGAAAAATATTAAGGGAATAGCTTATGTTATGTCAAGCTCTAATGAAAGGTACCCAAGGAAAACCACCACGAGTAAGCCATATAGGAATAGAAGAATGCATAATATGCTTTTTAATGAAATTCATACTACTCTAAGCAGAGTAACATTCTCATCCAAGTGACCTTGCCAAGCTCATTAAGAGGATGGTCAACAAAATTTTCTATCTTTGAATACAAGTGTCATGGTCTTCTAAAGATTCCATTAGCTTTTTCGAGTCACTATATGACTCACAGTTCATACAAACAGCAAGTGGACATAGTATATCAAATATCCATCACCCTTCCTCCTTCAAAAGATCAATGATGAAAGGAAAAAAAGGAAGGAGATATATAGTATTGTTTGAAATAGGCTTATAAGTTAGTCCCTCCAATTTGATGTTTCTTTTAATCTAATCTTCATGCTCTCCATTTATCTCAATCAAACCCTTCAACTCAAAACATTTTGGCCACTCTTTTCTAAATTCCTATGAATTTACCTCATCTCTTAATTGTTTTTCTAAGATTTTCGTATTTATAAATTGACCCATAATACTTTCAAAGTAATCACAATTAAAACCTATAATATAAACTCAAAGTTAATTCTATTTTTTTATTTTATTTTTTGTTCTTGTGCTTTTATCTACTTTTTTTTTTAAAAAAAATTATTGTTTTTTTTTTTTGTAATCATGACAAAATGATAAATATAATTAAACCAAATTAAAAGATAATGATAAAACAAGACTAATCATAATAATAAAAATAAAAATTCATGTGAAAACTATGATTTGTAAATAAAAAAAATTATAAAAAGATTTAATATAATTATGGGGTTAAAAATTGGTTTATGACAGAGTAGATACCTCAACATCGGTTGTTCAAACTCAACTACATATATTTCCATACTAAGAGAACCTTGTTTCATATGATTTAGTCGAAGAAAGTACATTATCTATGGAAATTTGACAAGTATTTGTCCTTTAAGGCCTTTTTCATCTCAACCCATGTTACAATCCCAAGCTTTCCCTCTTTTGTCTCTCTTACACTTTAAGGTTTCCCGCCACGAGTTGTATTCTTGGTGAGTTAAATGGCTATTAGTTTGACTTTTTTTTTTTTTTTGTACTTGGACATCTCTAAAAAATCAAACACTTTTCCTTGGCTTGTAACCAATCGGTAAACTCATCCAAATTAAGTTGTCTCCTAAACTCGGAAATCCTCCACAATTTTAACGTTGATCCCTTTAAGGTTTCTCAACCCGGGATATGACATCCTCTTCCTCAAAAGATTTAGTCCGTAACATATAGGAGGGATGTTAGTATAGTTTCCTAAAATCCAATGATCTTTAGATAGGTTTGAGTTATTGTATTACTCGTATCATTTATTTTATTAGTAATAAAGAAGTCTTTCTATTAATTCCTATATTTTATATTTATTAATTTAGTAAAATTAGATAGAAGTCCTTATGATATGCATTTGCAATGGTGATTGATCAAAAGATGTGAGACAAACACTAATTCACATAAATGATATCATTAAATGTCCCAAGTCGTAACATTGTAAAGAATGGACAATGACTAGACGTGGTTAGACTTGTGAGTGTTATGCTTATGCTATATAATAGTAGTAGAAGATCTCACACTATTGGCATGGTGATGCCAAAGGTAGAACTTAGGTGATTTATGTTAGAGAACATATCACTAGACTAGACTCACCATTAGAACCCATTTGGTTTAGTATATAGGAATCTCATACAAGATGGGTATAACTAGTCCTTAGACTTGAAGTCATCATGATTATCTCATTAGAGGATTTATGTACTTTGACACTCATTTTGATGGACTTAGTAATGGATTGCACATGGACTATTTTTTAGGTGCACTAGGAATCTAATGGACTTAGGTGGATAACTAAGATAGGACATGTCATTATGCTAAAGGAGTTATAATATTGCACTTTGATGAATGTCTACTCAATTAATCTGTGATCATAGTAGGAGTATACTAATATAACATAATTGGTTTACACTACGAGCTAAGACATTTGAGAATCAAAGAAAACTTGTGTGATCAAGTTTGAGATCACACTATGGCAAGTTGACATGAGGACTAAATTGTATGGTAACCATGCTTGTCGCTCGGCGATGTGTTTAGGAAAAAATAAGAAAAATGGGCAAAAATGATTAGAGTCGCCATCTAGTATTATGCTACTAGGAACCTTATGAATGGTTTGTTCGGAGTTCTAGATAAGGTTTTTATTATGTGTAGGGAAGATTAAAAATCACCCTACCCCATCATTCCTAAGGCAAGTTGCAATGCATAAGAACTTTGATTTGATTTCGATTTTTGATAATGAACATCTATAACTATCTTTCATGCATTTACCCACCGATCGAGTGATTTGGGACTTAGCTGGTCAAAGACCTCATCCTCACTCTGCAATGGATGGCTAAAAAAGAATGAATGCAAGGATGTGCTTGCTAATGCAACTTAGATAGCGTGCATAAAAAAAAAAACATAAAAATATTAAGCAAATAGGCAAACGGGAAAAACAGGTAGATTGGCAAAATTGATAAACCGGCAAATAAGCAAAATTGGTAAAAATGAACAAATAAGCAAATAATGACAAAATTGATAAATTGAAAAAATTGACAAATAGGCAAATTGACAAACATGCTAATTGGAAAAATCGAAAAATTAGCAAAATAGATAAATAGGTAAATAAGCAATTTCGTAAAATAGACGATTAGGCAAAGTAGGAAAAATTGACAAATGGGCAATCAAGTAAAAATCGTCAAATAGATAAAATCGATTAATAGACAATTTAGGCAAAAATCGATAAATCGATAAAAATTGACAACTAGGCAATATCGATAAAAATCAACAATTAGGAAAAGTTGAAAAATAGGCAAAATTGTTAAAAATTGACAAATAGGAAAAAAATGGTAAAAATAGGCGACTAGTCAAAATCGACAAGAATTAGCAAGTTGGCAAGAAATTGGCAAGAATTGATAAGTTGGTAGGAAATCGACAAGAATCGATAAGTTGGCAAGAAATCAACAACGATTGGCAATTAAGCCAAAGATCGACAAAAATTGAAAAATTGGCAAGAAATTATAATTTGATAAGAAATCGACAAAGATCGAGAATTAGGCCAAAATCGACAATTAGGAAAAATCATTAGAGTTGATGAAAATGATCTAAAAACAAGGTTAAGATCGACATGACTTCAAAAATTATAATTTTCAAGCAAAAATGACAGAATCATTAGAATTGATAAAAATGAGCCAAAATAGAATTCGGATTGACACAACATCAACATCACATTTTTTTGAAAAAATTGGCACAATGCCATATTAATCATCATGAATCACCACAATGATCCAAAAACAAGATTTGAGTTAACGCGGCTCGAAAGTCACATTTTTAGACGAGTTGGCAATGATGTCAAAATTAATCATTATTTAATGAAAGTGACCAAACAACAAGGTTTGAAATTGTATAAATTTAATACATGAATGATTTAACATTACTAATAACTAAAACGATCTAAAAACACGAGTTCGATCTAGTGTATAGCATTAAGTGGAAATAACTAAATATTTACGGAATAATAAACACGACAATCAAGCCGGACGTGCATGCAACAATCATTACAACACCGTAATAGTGATTCAAAATTACACAACCATAACGGTAATTTAATTAATTCACATAACAATGATGACTTAATCAATTACAAACACATCAACACAAATCAAATTTAACATAGATTACAAATAAATAAATGAAATGAAATGAAAGGTAAAAATAAATAAATTACTCTTAAAGTCGAAATGAATTGGAATATTGAATCGTGGTCGGTTTAGACCCTTTCAATCTTGATGGAGATTGATATTGAGTCAATCGAGAAGAAAATATGGCTACTCATTATAGATTTGAACTCGATGTGAAGTGAGGTGGTCGTAGGTGATCTAATCCGAATTGATGCTTGGTGTTGAATGGAGGTGATGGCAATAAGGGTCTGCTATTGGAAGATGTGTGTGCTAAAGGCACATTAGCCTAGCGTGTGTGCTTGCGGGTGTGGCGCACGGGCATGGGTTGATAGGCGCGTGGGGCTAGGGCACTAGTAGGTGCACATGCTGGGGCTAAGTGAGGCGGGTGTACGTGCTTGGGGCTAGGCGAGGCAAGCGTACGTGCTGGGGCCGGTGTAGTGGCACATGCGGACGGGGTTGGTTGCGGTCGTGTGTGTGGGTAAGAGGAAAAGGGCTATAGGCATGCGGGTTTGTTAGTTCATGCGAAAGTTGATTTATGGCTAGGTTATGCATGCATTGCAAGGTTGGTTGTTGGGCATGGCTAGGAGGCACATAAAAAAGATTGAGTAGGGGTTGTATGTGCGAGGGCCCGGCGTGGTGTGCGGAGAGGTCCGGTCGAGGGTATGAGTGCGGAGCTAACTTAGGGGGTTGTGGTCGGGCTCGTGCTCACATTGTGGGGATAGCCCTTAGGCATGGGAATGTTGGTGAGCGGACATGCGAGGCTCGCTTACTAAGTTGCATGGGGTTGGCCACTAGGGCACGTGAAGCCGCCTACTAACGGATAGGTGAGCGGGTGTGGGTAGTCGAGTTGGTCGGTCGAAGTTTTTTAGAGTGGGGAAGGTAGTTGGCTAGTTTTTATGGAGAGATGAATATGAGGTTTTTATACTAGGTTTTTAGGGCTTTTTTTGGCTAAGTTTTGTTTGGTTGCTCATCTCACAAACCCACTTTATTTTTATCCTTTTGTCCTCTCCTTTTCATTTGCATCTCCCAATTGTATTTTTTGGTCCCTCTTCTTTTTGTTTTTTCTTTTACTTATTTATTTTTATTTTTTTTGGAAAAAATTGGATGCTAACGAGTTTCCTCTCTTTACAATGCTTACCCAATGCAAAGCCATTGAAAAACCGACTTTTCTTTGGCTTTACATAGTAAGCTTGTAAAGAAAATCATATAAAAATGGCAAACAAACAAATCAACTCACAAGAGTTTAAACGACATACCTAGTTGTCATTGAAGAAACATAAATTATCATTGTCAAACATATAAACATTTCCCTTTTCTCCTCATTTGTAAGGCATCATCATTTGAATAGGCTTGAGGTTTTAGGCTAGTCGCTTCTTGCACGTTTTTTCTTGTTTAATCACATGTCCTAAGATTACTTCTCCCTTTTTTTAGGTTCGACCAAGTTATCGTTCATGCTATCCGAATGGCATTTGCTCCTATGGTTATGTAGGCAATTGTTCATTCTTTCATGCTCTTAGGGTGTTGCTCCCAAGTGATCGAGCTTTTGTTAGCACATATTGAAAATTTTGACTCGTAAATCATGGAGATAGTTTCAATCACCACCTTGTTAATCCATCAAGAAAGACCTTATGCCTAATTTCATAAAGAAAGCCTCCTTGTCTACCAAGCCCGAGCAAAACTCTTACCATGTTATCATTTATCGATTTAGTGTAACATCATGTTTCATAAAAATGTCACTCACGGGATCACGCATTTGACAAAAAAAAGGCTTTATAGGGACTAATCATATTTGTAGAAATCGAGCTATTTTGAAAGGTAAAAGGGCAAATCATGTCATGTTAGGAAAAAAAGAACAAGATAAGAAAAGTTTAAATGATAGATTTTATAAATTTGACCATAACTCAAATGACTTCTTTGTTGCTCTGGATAAAGGTGAACTCGATGTGATTTGATTTTGATTTTTTATTTTTTAAGAAGACTTGACTTTTGGTTGTTTTGAATTTCATGGATTAAGTAGTATATTCAAATAATTTTCATCAAAGAAAGTTTAATTATTCAAAAGAAATCACGGGATGTTTATAAGAATGTAATCTTATTCAAGAAAATATTTAATTCATTTGGTCAAAAGCCAAAACACATCATGCAAATGTTGTGATACAATTCTCAAGATGGTCTTTTCCAGCCTAATTGAGTGAAATGTATTTGGATCACATCAAAGGCATGGAAAGGAACCACTTTTGGGAAAGACGAGTGTCGAAGGTTGGGTAAAAGGAAGTGAGATGTTCAAATGGATGTCATGGGCTCGAGGGTTTTTCAAGAAGGGTAGGCTCAAATATATATATTTTTTTTTACTTAAAGGTTTTTTAGGTAGGCTCAAACAGTTTCCTGGACTCGAAGGCTTTTCAAAAAAATTAGGCTCAAACGGTTATTCCGTTTAGAAATACCTTGATTTTTTTTTATTCCTTGCCCCCAAGTATTTAATGAAAAAATAATAATCCAACGCTATGAATGATGATTTATGATGCACGAGTGATTTTTTCTTCTCTATTTTTTTTGAAGTTAAAACTTATCAACACAAAGCAAGTCATCCCCGATCGGAAAAGGGCTTTGAAGGCATATAATATAGGCTAAGGCTTGGGCTCATGAATAAAATGATATATAAAGGTTCAAAAGGTGTTTGAGGGTATAAAGACTCAAGGTAACGTGATCACCCATCAAAATTATACTAGGGTTGACCATACTGACTTTTGCACTTTAAGTGGCCGATCTTATCTTCTAATCTTGGTTCTCTTCTTTTGTTCACTCACATCCTTTTTATTTTTAGATTTCACAACCTTTTTTAACTTTAAATCATGATAGCGGCCACTTAGATAACACTTTCTTTCGTTTAGCGTCATTTTTTTCGTTGACCCCATTGTTCTGGATAATGTCAAGCCTATTCTCAATTCATGTGAACCAAATCTCAACTTCTTAGGAGAATATTACCAATTTTATACACCTTCAAATTGCTCCCTAATGTGAGGGTTGATCATGGTCCGAGTTTTTATCGAAAGAAATTATCAAAGGCTCAAAGTAGGACAACAAAGGATAAAATTTATTTGTCAAAAATGGCATTTCTTCCTTTTTAGTATGACTCACTTAAGTTGATAGGCTTTAGTTTCATTTGAAAATCATGATTTATAAAGAAAAAGAAATAGATCAAATGGTATCATGACTCGAGTGTGCACCGCTTTTGAAACATGTTGAATGCATTCACCATTTTACTTTTTCTAACTTGGATGGCATAAAATAGAAAATGATACTTTCAAATAAACATCTCTTGACTTCAAATTAATAATAAACCATGCTACCATAGTAGAAATTTCTTTTTATTCAAAGAAACGACTTGATCCATGAAAATCATAACACTTTTTCTTTGTCCAGTGCCATCAAAGTTAGGCCAATAATTTTTTAGCATAATCATTTGGTGGTTTTAGGATATGATCATATTGGATGTCCTAAAGAGAGAGTGCAAATAAGATGAATGGAAAGAAGCAAACATAGATGAAAAGAGCTTACCCAATCCCATAAAATAATATTATTCGAAAGCATGATAAAAAATTTGACATAATGTTGTAATGACGGAAAGGAAAAGATAATCATAATAAAAGAACCACTTAGGCTTGGAAACAATAGGCACTTGTTCACTAAACCAATTGCTCGGCTCCTCTCCTTAGCCGATTTTGTGTCATCCAATGATAGTGTGTTTACTCCTTCAATAGCGGCATGATTTGGCAAAGGATTGGAATTAGTGTTTAGGGGATTTGAGGAATCTTCAAATTTAATTAGGTCTTGATCAATCAAAATTTTTACCCTTTTCTTGTTCTCAATACTATGAGCATTGTTGCCATCGTGGTATACGAAACTTCATTAGGCTTATAATGATGAGGGAATGGTAGCTGAAGTGGTATGAGTATCACTTGGAGCTATCCGGCTAATAGTTACCGGATGCTCGAAGAGATTATCAAGAGATATGGGAAGTGATGTAAATATATTATCGAATTGGCCCCTATTGGTATTCCTTGGAGAGTTTTGATTGGATGAACTTGATTGGTTGATGAGTTATTATGGGCTTTAGCAATGTGTTTGGGGTTGACATTGGGATAAGGTAGGTGTTTTGGTCATTTGGTAAGGACAATTTGGTTTTTTCATAAGGATTATGCAGCATTTGATATCGTGGGAAGGTTGGTGTTTGTCTTGTCAATCCAACTATATAGGTCGGATTGGCGTTTGTAAGAATTATAGACCATGCGGATGGGTTGGGCATGTTATTTTAAGGGATGAAACGATCGTTATTCCTCTAAGGGTTATTCCATTTCCCCTAGGAATGAAAGTGGATCCTCCGATTTGATTTACCTCTAGGTCTCTTCTCTTAATAAAGTTACTCGTCTAGGGTCCAGATTCTAAAGGATCGACTACTTTCCCAACTTGATGGCTTGTTCTATTCGGTTTGCGGTAGACACTATCTCTATAAAGTTGTTGAACTCATTACTCAATAGACGGTCATAATATGAGACTTTAAAGGTATTGAAAAAAAGAGTAACCAATTCTCTCTCGAAGGAGCGGACAAATGCGAGAAGTCGTTTCTCGTCATCGTTGAGCATACTCCCTAACGACCTCCTTGAGCCTTTTTCCATAGACTACAAGCTAGATCCGTCAAGCGTTATCTTTAGATTAAATTTATACTCGCCTCGTGAAAACATCCACCAAATCCTTCCACTTTTTTATCTTAGTTTGGTCCAGGTTAATAAGCCAACTAAGAGCGGACCCATCGAGACTCTTAAGAAAGAAATGGATCACTAGCTTTTTATCATATGCTACCTTAATCATCTTATTTAGGTAGGTCTTAGGACATTGGCTCCGAGTGTACTTGGTAAGTTCGAGCACTTTAAACTTTCGAGGAATCACCACATTCGGCATTAAACATTTATTTACACCGAAAAAGAATTATATGCATCAACGCCTTCAATAACTCTCGAGTGTTCCTCAATGGCGGTGAGCTTCTCGGCTTTGAGTTCTAAAGCTATCTTTTCTTAGCCAACTCTTTAATGACGAAATCGGTAGTTGCCGCTATCGGTGCTTGGATAGTTCGAGGCAACATAGGAGCAGTGGTCTAAAGGTCTAGGAGCAAACTCATACATGCCCTCTAGTGTAGGATAGTTGGCATGATTAGTAGTACCGATAGACTCCAAATGAGGTGATACTAAAGCTAAAGACTAGCCAATTTCTCTTTAGATGATAAATTTTAAAGACATTTGATGTTGTCGACTTTGTTCCAAAAGAGCAATAAGCTTAGCAACCTCTTATTTTAGTGCCTCTACCTCCTTCTAGTGATTTTGCTCAAGTAGAGCTCTTTCTTCATTCTTCATCCTTTTCCTTGCTCTAGCATGGTGAATATGCAAGAGAAGTGTAGTTTTTGTAGGTCAACCTATGTTTCGTTCAAGCAAAAGATAACTAATACGAGTATAAACAATATGTTAAAGATATAATGACACTCGAGACTAAATATAGAGTAGCCATCTATAAGGGTTGAAAAAGAACTCGGTCATTAATTCTTCGATCCTCGTAAGTTTAAGGATAAATTTAAATTCATCGGTAATGTTTTGGGATTCCAAAAAAGGAATTTCCTTGACGGATAATGGCATTGATTGCTCAATCCTTTTAAGTTTAAAGCCTCATAATTTTTACTGAATTTAGCAACCAAGTGGATTTGGACCTATGTTCTCTTGTCACCCATCTTGAAAAATTCACGAACAGTTTGTTTGGTCAAGGTCTCGACATATCCAACTTGCCCGGTGAATTTATACAAAAAAGTTGGTCCTAGGGTTTTTTTCTAGCAATTACATGATTTGGTAGGATCTATCTATGTCTCAACGGGGTCCCTTTTGGCGTAGGAGAGCCGAGGCCGACCACGTGCGAAGGTGCTAATCGTGGAGACCATCAATTACATATTGCGAAAATGGCGGCTTTCTAAAAGAGTTAAGCTTTCGTGAGTGTTACTTGGGGCAAAACCCATCGGGGCACCGGTAATTCCTCCCTAGATCCTAAAGTGAATGCGAGATGATATTTAAAATTATGCGAGTATAGTGTGTGCATAGGCATTATTCCATATCCGGTCCCCAAAAAAAACACAAATAATAGTACAAAAATAAAATAAAAATAAGCATGAATAAAAAAAACAAGGCAAACAATGGAAAAAAGGCATGAATTTAAATAAGGTAGGCAGATTATACAAAACGATATACAAGCATGAAAATTCATCATATCATCGAAATCAAATTCAAAAATTACATGGAAAGCCTAACCCTAAGTATAATCCCCAATGGAGTCGTCATTCTATCACAAGGCGATGCTAGTGGCAAAGGTGACGTGTTTAGATGAAAATAAGAAAAATAAGAAAAAATGATTAGACTTGTCACCTAGTATTATGGTTACTAGGAAACCCTATGACTAGTCCGTTTAGAGTTCGGATAAGAGGTTGATTACATGTAGGGAAGATTAAAAATCACTCTACCCTATCCTGCGTAAGGCAAGCTACATTGCATACAAACTTTGATTTGATTTTTTATTTTTGATGATGAACATCTATACTTATGTCTTAAGAATTTACCCATCGATCGAGTGATTTGAGAGTTAGCCGATCGGAGACCTCATCCTCACTTTGTAATGGATGGCTAAAAAATGATGAATGCAAGGATGTGTTGTTGATGCAACTTAGAAAATCCGTATAAAAACAAAATTGACTAACGGGAAAATAGGCAAATTGGAAAAAAACGAACAAATATGCAAACAATAGTGAAATCGACAAATTGACAAAATTGACAAATAGGCAAATTGGAACAAAAGAAAAATTGATAAAAATCGACAAATAGGCAATTAGGCAAAATATACAAATAGGCAATTAGGAAAAAATCGACAAATAGGCAAAATCGACAAACATCAACAATTGGGCAAAATCGACAAAAATCAACAATTAAGCAAAATCGACAAAAATCAATGAATAGGCAAAAATTGGCAAAAATAGAAAATTAGTCAAAATAGACAAGAATCGGTAAGTAGGCCAAAAATTGACAAAAATGGACAAGTTGGCAAGAAATCAAAAATTAAGCTAAAGATCGACAAAAATTGACAAGTTGGTAAGAAATCGACAAGGATCGATAATTAGGCCAAAAATCAACAATGAGGCAAAAATCATTAGAGTTGACAAAAATGATCCGAAAACAAGGTTAAGACCGATATTATTTCAAAATGTGATTCTCAAGCAAAATCGACGGAATCATTGAAATTGACAAAAATGAGCCAAAAATAGATTTCGGATCGACACAATGCTAACATCACATTTTTTGGACGAAAATTGGCAAAATGTCAAATTAATCATCACGAATCGTAATGATGATCTAAAAATGAGATCCGAGCTAACACAACTCGAAAGTCACATTTTTTAGGTGAGTTGGCAACGATGTCAAAAATAATCATTATTTAACAAAAGTGACCAAACAACGAAGGTTCAAAATTATATAAATTGCACATGTGAATGATTTAATATTACCATTAGAAAAAATGATCCAAAAACAAGGTTCGAACTAGTGCAAGGCATTACATAGTAACAACTAAATATTTGGAGAATAATAAATACATTAATCAAGCCCCACCAACGATAGCAACGAATCATTACACCATCATAATAATGATTCAAAATTACACAACTATAACGATAATTTAATTAATTTACACGACGAATGATGACTTAATCAATTACAAACTCATCAACACAAGTCAAATTTAATACAAATTACAAATAAATAAATAAATAAAATGAAAGGTAAAAATAAATGAATTATCGTAAAAGTGGAATATTGAATCGGGTTAGTTTTGAACTTTTCAATCCCGATGAAGATCAATATTCAATCAACTATGAAAGAAAGGCAGTCGTCCATTATAGATCCGGACTCGGTGTGAAGCGAGGCGATTGTAGGTGATCCAATTTGAATTAATGCTAGCATTAAACAAAGGTTGATCGTAATGAGGGTCTATTATCGAAGGCGTTTACGGCTGGGGATGCGTTGGCCTAGCATGTAGGCCGCGGGCATGGCGATCGAGGTTGGGGAATTGGTAGGCATATGTGCTAGGGTTGAACGAGGCGAGCATGTGCACTAGGGCTAGGCAAGGTAGGTGTGTGTGCTAGGGTCGGTATAGTGGCACATGCGAATGAGGTTGGTTACGATCTTATGTGTGGGGGAGAGGAAGAGGGCTATTGAAGTGCAAGTGCCCCGGGTCATATAGCAGGTGATTTGTGGCCGGGTTATGTGGGCGCTATGGGGCCGTCCATCGGTCGTTGTTGGGAGGCGCTTGTAAAGATAGAACAAGGGTTTTGCGAGTGGGGGCCTAGCATGGTGTGCGAGAGAGGCTTGGCTAAGGGCCTCGATGTGAAGCAAGATGACTATAGGTGATCCAATCCGAATTGATGCCGGCGTTGAACGAAGGCCGATGGCAATAAGGGTCTACTATCAAAAGGGGTGCGCACTTGCCTAGCATGTGGGCTACAAGCATGGCATGCGAGGCCGAGGCACTAGCGGGCATGCACACTAGGCTAGGCGAGGCAAACATGCACGTTAAGGCTGGTGTAGTGGCACACACAAGAGACGAAGAGTGTTGTTGGCGTGCGAGTGCGCTAGGTCACGTGGGAGGTGATTTGTGGCTAGGTTATACACACGTTATGAGACTAGCCGTTGGGTATGGTTGGGAGGTGTACATGAAAATGGATTAGGGGTCTGTATGCGTCGGGCCGACTTGGAGGAGGGCTATGGTTGGGGTTGTGTTCACGCCGCGGGGTAACTTATGGGCATGAGCATGTTGGCGAGCAAGCGTACGGGGTCGCTGCCGAGGTACGGAGGGATGGGCTGCTAGGGCTTGTGGGATTGCATGCTAGCAGGTGGGTAGTGGGCATAGCTGGTCGGAGTTGGTCGGCTAGAGTTTTCCAAAGAGGGGAAGGCAATCGACTAGTTTTATGGAGAGATGAATAATAGCTACCCTCTTTAGAGGAAGATAAGGCTTTTGTACTAGGTTTTTAGGTTTTTTTTTGGCTAAGTTTGGTTCCCTTATCTCACAAACCCATTTTATTTTGATCCTTTTGTTCTCTTTTTTTCAATTTCATGTCTTAATTGTACTTTTTTATTCCTTTTTTTCTTTTTCTTTTTTCTTTTTTATTTATTTTTATTTTTTTGAAAAAAATTAGGTGCTAACAATGCTCGTGAAAGTTATTTATGGATTAATTAATCCTCTTAAAGAATTGGATAGTCACAATGCGTTACTAGAGGCCAATCTTTACTTATGCATCGATAGATAAAAGAGATGTCTTTTGTTCTTGATACATTGCAAACATATCCGGGGTCTATTGAGTCACACACATAATTTTAAGCATTCACATGATTAAAGAGAAGTAATGATATTGGAAAAGGTTTTCAATTATGAAAGTTTCTTATTTTCAAAAAAGTTTCCAAAAATAGAAAGCTTCCTAAAATAGAAGTTTCCCAAGATGAAAATTTTTATATTTTAGAAATCGGTTTCCTTTAAATTTGGAAGTTAGTTCCAAATTTAGAAGTAAATAACCTAAAATAGAAATGAGTTTCCTAATTTAGGTTTAACGGCATTTTGAAAAATTATTTCCTAATATGGGTCGCCTAAAATTATCTAACTTAATTTATTTGGATAGTCCAAATTAATTAATTGGGTCAAAATAATTTTAGGTCGATAAGTTTAATGAAAAACCTAAAAGATATTTTGGTATGAGGATAAACATAAGGCTTATTAGATAAATGAAAGAATTTTATTTTATACAATTAATGTTAGTATGCATGTTAGGACTAATGTGATTAAATAGTATGCGTGATAGGATACAACCTACCAAATTCAAATCCTTCAAATTAAATATTAAGTTAAATGCCTTTAAACGTTATGAAGAGGGAACTCTCTTGGTCGTTGTAGGCTTATTGAGATAACTCAAGGTCACTTATTCTTTGAAAGAAATAAATCATGGGCCATACGATGTACCCGAATGTTGGTTCTAACTTGAAATAAGTTGTTGGGTTTATTGAGATAACTTAAGGTCCAATAAACTTGTAGGAAAAGATTGGTATTCACATAAAATGTGATATCATAAAGAGATTTCATGCCAATTAGATTAGGAACTCGTATTGAATGTAATTGGTAAGGAGTTACTTTCCTAATCCTTAATGTATGACTTGTTGATATAACTCAAAGTTAATGCATGTTAGAGGATGGTATCCTAACCTACTAAGGAAGATGGATGAAAAAGTATTCTTGAGTCCTATACTAGGAAAATATTCTATGCGATAGATGATAAAGAGTACCATGGGAAAAAGAAAAGTTTTAAAAGCACCTCAAGTATTTATATTATTGAAGTGAACTTTTCTACTTCGAGTCCAATATCATGGGTATTTGATACTTGGATGTGGTGCACACATTTATACATTGGTTATTCCTTTTATAGAAATGATGTTTTATATGGAAATGATGAGATAACTAACGATTTATATGTTTTAAACATATATACACCTATATATGACATAAATGTGAAAAGACTCAAGACTAACAACCTAAATAAAACTTATCTATGATATTGTTAACTTGGTCATATAAATAAGAATCATATACAAAATTACATAACAATGGATATTTAAAATTATTTGATTATGAATCTTTCAATGTCTATGAATCTTGTCTACATGACAAAATGAAAAAAATCCCCTTTTAGTGGAAAAGGTAAAAAAACTATTGATTTGTTAAACCTCATACATAGTGATGTATTTGGGCCCATGTCCACCCAAGCAAGAGGAGGACATGATTATTTTATAAACTTTATTGATGATAGATCATATTTTTGTTATGTATATTTGATGAGACACAAATCTAAAGCATTTCAAAAGTTTAAAAAATTTAGGTGTGAAGTCAAGAAACAAACAAGCAAAAGTATTGAAGCACTTCGATCAAATCGAGGTGGAGAATACTTAAGCACTTAATTTTTAAATCATTTAAAAGAGAATGGAATTCTTTTGCAATGGACCCCAGATAGAACTCCACAAATGAATGATATGTCTTAAAAGAGGAATAAAACATTGTTAGATAAGGTTTGGTCCATGATGAGTCAAACTAATATCCCTATTTCATTTTTTGGGATATGCACTCCTTATCGCATCATTTATTTTGAACAGGGTTCAAACAAAGTCCGTTAATCAAACTCCATATGAGATATGGAAAGAAACGAAAGCAAATTTGTTTTTCCTTAAGATTTGGGGCTATGAAGCATATGTCAAATGTTTGGACGAGAGACAAGCTAGAGTCTAATTGACAAAGTACAAATTTGTAGGACATCCAAAAAAAACAAAGATATTGAAAAAGGTTTTCAATTATAAAAGTTTCCTATTTTGAAAAGGTTTCGAAAATGGAAAGTTTCCTAAAATGATAGTTTCCAAAAATGAAAAGTTTCCTATTTAGAAATCGGTTTTCTAATTTGGAAGTTAGTTCCAAATTTGCAAGTAAATATCCTAAAATGGAAATTAGTTTCCTAATTTAGATTTAAGGGTATTTTGAAAAATTATTTCCTAATGTGGGCCACCTAAAATTATCTAATTTAGTTTATTGTGATAGTCAAAATTAATTAATTAGGCTAAAATAGTTTTGGGTCAATAAGTTTAATTAAAAGCCTAAAAGATATTTTTATAGGAGGATAAACATTACCTTATTGGATAAGGTTGAATATTTTAAAGATAAAGATCAAAAGTTCACATACAAAATAACTCCTAATCCTTGGAGGACTTGGAAGTAATAACCTAGAGTCCTTTAGGGACTCATTGCCACCCTCCTTGTCCTTGGAGGACAAGGAAGCATCTCCCCTATATATGTAGAGAGAGGTGTGGCAAACATAACACTTTTGGGAAGAGAGAAAAATTCGACATAGAGATAAATTTGCTAAGGGCATACAACTTAATATAAAAGCTAGGAGAAATTTTTTTTCTCCTAAACCCTAGCATGCTACTTTTCTTCTCTCTCTCTATCGGTTGTCATAAAATTTCTCCGATTAGATTTCTATAGGAAACATTAAACGAGTCGAAAGGTGGAGCTAGCACTCTACCAATTTTAAGTGCTTTTTTTGTGAGCACTTAGATTGCGTGGATTATCGATAGAGGTTAGACACTTGGATGGCTCTTTTTTGCAAAGGTTTATATCTACACTACTCGGTAAATTCTCTATTGATTACTTTAATTCATGAATACATAGTTAGTTGATTCAATAGCATGATCTTGGACTCTTTGGATAGATGAATTTTTTTTTATTCTGCACCTCCATAGGATGTATGATCCTTAAAGGGATTCTCATCCTTGTTTTCCTTCCCTTGATACCCCCTTCAGCCTTCCCTCTCAATCTATAGCTTTTCTACCTACTTTGCTCTCCCGAAGTACTTTCAAATCATGGTTCCTCCATCGAAGCTTTTCATTATATGATGATTGTAATTATTCAATGGCTCAATACATGTCTTGCATGATCATCTTATTAGCTAGATCTTTTTCGAGGAAAATCTTTACTTTAGCCAAGTAAACAACATGAAAGCCTAACTTAAGCTTTGATACCAAACTGATACTAGAAAAATGTGATGCCTTAAACCCTAAAAAAGATCAATAAAAAAAATAACAAGATAGAATTATATTCTACCTCATTACATATAGAAAAATTACTATAGCTCATGAACAACCAAATCCTCAACTAAATCCCGAATAAATGAAAAATAGATTTATCAAACAAGGCACTCAAACAACTAGATTTGGGTAGAGTGAAACCTAGGTCATACTAAATGATTTGAAATTTACCACAATTTACCTAACATACATTATTATAAGAATGAAAATTTTTAGATCGGAAAAATCTCCTAAGGCCTTATTGAGGTCGAGTCAAAATTCTAAAGTCGAATATATCTCTACACTCGTCCTAAATTCTAGCATGGTTTTTGATTCAGTTCACCCCTCAAATCAACTCCAAATATCCCTAAATTTTATACAAAACCATTAAATGTCCAGAAAAAGGTTACTATAACTAAAAAATGATCCTATCCTTTCCAATGAAATCCAAATCGAAGGTAACTTCTAAGAGTGAAGTTGGTTAGTTCATGCAAGTTAATCTACCATTATTATAAAATCATGTTAGACCAATTTTCTAACCCTAAGGTCTTAAAACTAGTTAATCTACCACTAGTCTAAGTTCTTAAATCAAGATAGAGTAGGAGGTATTTATAAGGATAAACAAACCAAAAGGACTTCAAACTACAACTCCAAGCTTTTGCATGCAACAATATATAACCCACCTTAGGTAATCACTCGAAGGATATGCTCCATGTAATCTTAGTCTAGTCCATGATAATATATACTTGAATATTTTAAATAATAAATCTTTAAAATTTACCGTGTTCAAAGTCGACTAGGTCTACTCGAATATTTCAAATAATATCACGTAGAATGATGCATGAGAGATTTAAATACTACTTTAAATATGATCTAGTAGAATTTGGCTAGGGCATAATTTCTTCCCTAAGTCGAGCATCCTTTTTCCAAAATAGGATGAACTTACTGATCCATATTTAATTAAAGCTTATTTATTATTTAGATTAGTTAATTATGGATCCATATATTACTAAGACTCATTAAAAATCCTTTTTATAAAAGATAAGAATTCATAAAATAATAGGATTCTCAATCCCTCTAACATTTGGTCACTCTTTATAATTTAGGAAATAATTAATCCAATAGAACTTAATATTTTAGCCTAAATCCAAAATAAAAATAAACCTAAATAATAATAATCCAATCTATATGAGAATTAAATAAACAAAATATAAAAATTAATGATAGAAGACCATTAACTTTCAGCCATGATGGCCCGTAACTTTCAGCCATGGTGAAGGGGAGAAAATTTTGTGTCAAGAAGGGACCATTTTATTTCACACACCAAAAACCTATAAAAGACTCTCTCTTTAAAAACCATAAGACCTTCATAACCACTATTAATGAGGGCTTGTAGAGGTAGGAAAGGAGTGACCACTTAGCTATCAAGGAGAACTAGAAAAACCTAGAATAAAACTAATCTGCATAGATTTTAGGTAAGGGGTAGGTTACGTATGGAGAAGATTAACATCACCACTATCCCATCCTACATGAGATACGCTGCATTATATGCATATGAAAATAAAATTCTAGTTTTGCTATGTTATGCTTTTATTCTTATTTAAGTAAATTTAATTTATTAATGTAAATTGATTAAGTAATTTAAGGCTTATGGCAGTCTAAGGCCTATACCAACACTCTAAGAAGAAATATGGTTATGAATGAAATTTTGGTTAAAACTCAAGCAACTACAAACTTGTATTGGTAAAAGCTGAGTCTCTTAGGATTATGAGCCCATATTGACATAATTGGAAAACTATCAATGAATTTGTCTATACAAAATAGGAAGTCACTTGACAATTTTGAATTATACAAGTAAAGAAATAGGGCGTCAATAGTAACTTCGTCCACACAAGTAGGAATCCACTATTAATGCAAAAAAAAGAAAATCATTCTAACAAAATAAAAATAGTGAGGCCCTCACAATTGTAGCCCATAACATATATGATTCAAATAAAATAAAATAAAAATAGTGAGTCCTTTACGACTCTAGTCCATAACAAAAATCATTCGGACATAATGAAAATGGCAAGTCAAATGCAATTGTAGCCTATGATAAAAATCATTCAAGCATAATAAAAATGAAAAATCCAATACAATTAAAACCCATAACAGAAATCATTCAAATAGAATGCAAATGACGAGTCTCTTATGACTACAACCCATAAAACAAATCATTCAAATTGAATGAAAATAGGAAGTCCTTTATGACTCTAGCTTATAACAAAAATATTGAAATAGATAAAACTGGCAATTCCTACCTAACTATAGCCCATAACAAAAATAATTCAAATAGAATGGTAATGGTGAGTCTTTTGTGACTCTAGCCCATAATAGAAAGCATTCAAATAGAATGCAAATGGTGAGTCCTTTATGACTACAATCCATAACATTAATCATTCAAACATAATGAAAATGACGAGTCCCTTGTGACTTCACCCCATGACACAAAGCATTCAAATATAATGAAAAAGGTGAATCTCTTACTACTCTAACCCATAACAGAAATTATTTAAATATAGTGAAAATGGTAAGTCTCATGCGATTGTAGCTTATAATAGAAATAGTTCAAATAAAATGCAAATAACGAGTCTCTTGTGAGTCAAGCCCATAACATAAACAATTCAAATAAAATTAAAATGGTGAGTCTTTTATAAATTTAACCCATAACAAAAATAAATAAAATGATAAAAAGCCCCTAGTGGCTTTATTTCAATCAAGCAAAAATCAAGTAACTAGATTTAAAACCTACCGAAGGCTTCAATCACATAGGTGGGAAGCCATCATTAGTTTCACCTAAGTCAAACAAAAATTAACTAATTGGATTTGAAAGCCATTAGCCATCGTTAGTTTCATTTAAGTCAAATAGAAATCAAGTAATTCGATTTGAAAGTCATTAGTTGCTTCAAGCTTATAGGTCAAAGCCACTATCAATTTCATTTTAATTAAATAGAAATCGTGTAATTGATTTGAAAGCCATCAATGGTTTTGATCACATAAGTGGGAACCCATCATTGATTTTGCTTTAATCATGTAGAAATTGAATAAAATTAATTGAAAACTATCGAGTAGATTGAATCACATAAGTGGACTCGGAAATTGGATAAATTGGTTTATAAACCACTAACGACTTTCATCACATAGGTGGGAAGCCACCATCAATGTCATTTCAATCACATAGAAATTGAATAAAACATTGAAAATCATTTGGAAACCACTAGTGGCTTCAATCACATACGTAAGAAATCATCATTAGTTTCATTTCAATCACACAAAAATTAAATATAATCATTTGGAAACCACCGACGACTTTGATCATATAAGTAGAAAGCCATGGTCGGTTTCATCATAATCACCCAAAAATCGGGTAATCATGTATTGGATTCATTATGTACTCGGTACGTGACTTTCAAAATTTTAGATTAATCATATCATTCAACATAAACACATATCATATTCTAATGCAAATACTAGGACTAGTGTTTATCTTGAATATACCATTAAAATTAAACCCTAAACCTAATCCTCCTACCTCCATCAAAGGGTATTGATCACTAGCCTTATTTCACCTCAAAATAACTAAGGTGTCTTACCCTTTCGTGTTTGATAGACAATGGTATATCTAATCACACTTCAAATTTCTTAACATCATAACCAAGTCAATTTTATATTTCTTTTATCTAAAATAAAGGAGTGTATGATTATTTCTTTAATTATATCAAATGGGTATAAATTTTTTAATGTTATTCAAAAAAAGTTGAAAGATTCTAAAAATGCCAAAGCTCTATTTGGAGTAAGTTTTACTCTCTTCATCCCTAATGATGAATTGATCATTCAAATAGTTAGAAAAGTAATTATCCATTGTCAAATTTGGATTCGAGGTAAGGAAAAGTAGTGGTTAGTGGTTGTCCATGATGGTTGCATATGGTAGTAACTATTACCGGTGGTCAAAGCTACTCCGAGCAATGGAAAGGAACTGTTGCTACTGGAATGGATCGACGACAATGGGTTTGTTAGGTTGAGTTGCTAGCATTGGTTGGTCATGATGGCTTGGGCTATAAGAGGGATATTGTTGGTTGCTTGACCATAGTAGGATTAGGAGTTCGAGTGGAGGCTAGTAGTGCTTAGGTAAGGCTAGAGTTGGAGTAAGGTTACTAGCTAGGTTCTAGTGGTGGTGTTAGTAAATGGCAACCAACAACAGCTAGGTTTAAGGGTGAAATTGGTTTGGGTGTATGTTTAGGAAGCTCGGATGAGCTTGGGAGGGTTAGAACCCAAAATCTTTTGGTGGTCTTTGCTAGACATGGTGGTTGTTTCGCTAAAGAAAATGATGGATAAGGATCAACTTTCTACTAATTCAACTTGCTTGTATGGTGAAAGAGGTTTGGCCTGTGAGAAAAGGGAGCTTGAGTGACCAATAATTTGGCTTAATGGGGAAGATGATAGCTTCCTTTTTTTCTTTATTGTTTTAGTCAAGAGTTAAAGGGAAGAGGAATAAGGATGGCTGATCAAAAATGCAGTTGTGGTGTTTTGGGTGAGAAAAAAGATAGTTTAGTGGAGTTATGGTGTTTTTTGGGTAGGTATGGCCAAAAATGGTGGTGGTTGTGGTGATTGGACGAGAAGGGGAAAGATAATGTTTTGCGTAAAAGGAGGTGGATGAAATATTAGGATAGGGGTTTGGGCAAGAAGAGGAGCATGAAGTGTGTGGTAGTTAAAACATTTTGAAGATAATGAATAGTGCCTACCCCACCCCCTCAAAATAACAACAATAATAATAATAATAATAAAAGAGAAAAAGGAAAGGGATGAGCGCTTATTAGAAAAAAATTAAGGTTTTCAGTGAACATAAATTTTGATCTCTAGTCCCTTCATGTTTTTTTAATTTTGGTGCAAATTTATTTTTTTTCTTTCAATGGAGATTAATTAGCCCTTTTTTTTCTTTTTAACTCCTTCCAATTTAACCTTATCTTATCTTTAATTAAGGTTTTCAAATTTTAAACCTTTCTCAATTATATCCTTTAATTGAATTTCTTCTAAATTTAATTTCTCAAATCTTCTCAATTAGACCCCTAGATAATTTTTTTAATAACCCTACCCTCTCTTCTTTTCTCTCATTTTTTTTTTATATTTTTTCTAAAATCTTAAAAATCATGGTATTTCTATTAAACATAACACATTTTATTAATTAAAATTTTGTATTTTCATCATTTTTTAGAGAAATATATAAAAGAAAAGATTCAAAATTGGATGATAACAATTGCTCTCTCTTTACAATACTTTCAACACAAAGTCATTGAAAATTGTTCTACTTTGACTTTGTATAGAAAGCTTTTTAAAGAAAAATCTATAAAAAAAAATGAGACACATAAAACACAAATAACAATCAAGAAACAGAGACAATCATCAAATTCTAATGACGAGTTGACTATTTGATCAAATATGTTGAAGTAAAAACATGCAATATGGTAAAAAAAAAAAAAGGTACATGATGACATGGCATAAAGGAGATGCATTGCAACATGGCTTAAAGAGATACATTGTAACATGGCTTAAAATGGATGTATGATAACATGGCTTAAAGAGATACATGGCTTATAGTTGTGCATGATGTGATGGCTAAAAGAGAAGAAAACGAGTAACATGAAACACCACATAAAGTAAAAATAAAAACAAGCAAAAACCTAGTAACAATCTTATAGTTTTTAGAGAAGCATTGGTCTTTATTGCTAAGACATGAATTTCTCCCCCTTTTCCCTTCACTTATGTGTCATTCAGCTTGCATATGTTCAAATTTTTAGGCCAACTACTTTTATTAAGTTTCATACCCTCTATTCTTGTTAGTGTAAGTGCCCAAGATCCAACCATGTATGGATCGGCTTGAGTTGATGAATTGTTGCATTATTTATCGTGATAATAATAAAGAAGTCTTTTTATTATGTGTCATTCAGCTTGCTTATGTTCAAATTTTTAGGCCAACTACTTTTATTAAGTTTTATACCCTATATTCTTGTTAGTGTAGGTGCCTAAGATCCAACCATGTATGGATCGACTTGAGTTGATGTAATTGTTATGTAGTTGCCCAAGATCCAACCATGTATGGATCGGCTTGAGTTGATGTAATGTTGCATTATTTATCTTGATAATAATAAAGAAGTCTTTATATTCATTATTTTGTTTACATGTTCAGTAGAATTAGATAGAAGTCCTTATGATATGCATTTGCAATAGTGATTGATCGAAAAATATGAGACAAACACTAATGCACATAAATGATATCATTAAATGTCCCAAGTCATAGCATTGTCAAGAATGGACATTGACAATATACGGATAGACTTTTGAGTGCTATGCTCATGCTATATGATAATAGTAGGAGATCTCACACCTATTGGCATGGTGATGCCAAAGCAAGCAATTCGGTGATTTATGTTAGAGAACATATCACTAGACTGGACTCACCATGAGAAACCATTTGGTTTTAGTCTATGAGAATCTCATATGAGATGGGTACAAATGATCCTTAGGCTTGAAGTCATCACGGTTATCTCATTGGAGGACTTATGCACTTTGACACTCGTTTTGATGGACCCATTGCAATTCATTGGGTGTATTAGGAATCCAATGGAGATAGGTGTATAACTAAGATAGGACATGTCATTCCTTATATGCTAAAGGAGTTATCACATTGCATTCGATAAATTTCTACTCAAGAAATCTATGGCCATAGTAGGAGTACACCAATAGAGCATAGTTAGTTTACTTTAAGAGCTAAGACATTTAAGAATCGAAGAAAACTTATGTGATTATAATCAAACAAGACTAATAACCATGTTTGAGATGACACTATGATAAGTTGACATGAGTACTGAATTGTATAGTAACCATTCTCGTAAAAGGTAATAATGGATTAACTAATCCTCCTAGAGAATTGGGTAGTCATATTGCCTTGCTAAAGGTCAATCTTGATTTATGTAACAAGAGATGAAAGAGGAGTCTTTTATTCTTGATACATTGCCAACATATCTAGAGCCTATTGAGTCACACGTATAAGTTTAAGTGTTCACATTACAAATGAGAAGCAAAGATATTGGAAAAACGTTTTCAACTATGAAAGTTTCCTGTTTTAGAAAGAGTTTCCAAAATGAAAAGTTTCCTAAAATGTAAAATGGAAAATGAAAAGTTTCCAAAATGGAAAGTTTCCTAAAATGAAAGTTTGCTTTTTTAGAAATCAATTTCCTAATTTGGAAGTTAGTTTCAAATTTGGAAATAAAGAACCTAAAAAGGAAAGGAGTTTCCTAATTTAGGTCAAAGAGTATTTTGAAAAATTATTCCTTAATGTGGACCCCGCCAAAATATTCTAAGAATATTTATTTGGATAGTCCAAATAAATTAATTGGGCTAAAATAGTTTTGGTCCATTAAGTTTAATTAGAATCCTTAAGATAATTTTGGTGGGAGGATAAACATCAACCTTATTGGATAAGGATAAGGATGAATGTCTTAAAGATAAACATTAAGTAGTCCACATGTAAAATAACTCCTTAACCTTGGAGATAAGGATACAATAACCTAGAGTCCTAATTAGGGACTTAGGCCACCCCTTTCATTATCCTTGGAGGATAAGGAAACTCTTCCCCTATAAATAGGAGGAGAGGTGCAGCAAAAAAGGGGTTAATGCATACATTGAGATTCGGCCAAGCTAGAAAAAATATATAGCAAAATTTGACCATCCCTAATACTAAGCTAGGACACACGACCAATAGAGAAAAGAGAGAAAATAATTTTCTCGTAAACCCTAGCAAGCCATACTCTTTCCTCCTTAAATAAGGTTATTGCAAAGTTGCTCAAAATTGATTTCTAGTGGAAAAACTTAATCGGAAAAGATGGAGCTAGCACCCCATCAAATTTGAGTGCTTTTTTGTACATATTTGGGTTGCATATATCATCAATAAAGGCTAGACACTTGGACAACTAATCAAAGAAAAGAAATTTAGATCCGCACTATAAGAGGTAATCCTATTCTTTTATCTTATTATTCATGTACATATGATTAGTTAATTCAAAGGCATGATCTTGGGCCCTTAGATGGAGGAAAATTTTTATTCATTATGCACCTCCATAGGATGTATGATCCTTCAATTCTTATGTTCATTTGAAGGGTTGTCGTAGTCGTTACTTATGTCATTTGAGTGGTGTTCATTCTTCTAATTAAATGTGAGATCACTATTCTTTTATGTCCTATTTGGTACTATCCTCAAATGTTCAGAATTCTATTTGCACATATTAAAAATATGGCCATAAAAATGGTTAAAATGACCTTTTGTCTCAATTATCCATAATTCATCATGAAAAAACTAATAGATTTCATAAAAAAAGACCTCTAGTTGACCAAGTCTAAGTAAGATCCTTATCATGTTGTCATATGCTAATTTGATGCATTATCACACTTCATAAATTAATATTAATCACATGATAATGCATGAAACTAAGAAAGAATTTTTAGGGACTGATCATACTTGTGAAAAATAATAGTTTTTGAGAGGTAAAAGATCACGAATCATATTATGTTGGGCAAGTCAATAATAGAAAAAGAAAAGTCAAATGAGCATGCTAATGAATATTTTTTCATAACTCAAATTATATCCTTATTACTCTAGACAGGAGAGTAGTTCAAATTCTTGGTCTTCTAGTACTAACATAGTTTTGTGAATAATCTAATCTTTATATGCCTCTAAATGTTGGGATTGATCTATTATTTGTCATGTATATTTCATTGTTGTTACTTGTGTCATTCTCCCTCCCCTTTTATTTTTATTTATTTATTTATTTATTTATTTTTACTTTGAGCTTGACTATATGAACTTTTCTTTGAAAATTTTCAAATTCTTAAAAATCATATTCATTTTTTTGACTTTCATGAATTAACTAGTCTATTTGAAAACTTTCCATCATGGCAAGTTGAATTATCCAAAAGAAATCATAGAAGTGTTCACACAAACATAATCTCATTCAAGAAAATGTTTGATTTACTTGGTTAAAAGCCAAAACACATCATACAAATGTCATGATGCAACCCTTAAGGTGATCCTTCTTTAGGCTAGGTGAGCTAAATGTATTTGGATTATGTAAAAGTTTTAAAAAGAAATCATCTCGTTTAAGAGGTGATTGTCAAACATTTGGCTCATAGAGAGAGAAATGCTTGAATAGATTTCATGAACTCAAATAGTTTCAAAGAAAGTTTGGCTCAAATAAACAAGTCTTGTCTAGAAAAACTCAATTTATGTCTTTATTTCCCTAGTTACTTGAATAAAATTCATGACTTAATGCCACAAATGATGGTTTGTAATGCATAAACAAGTCAAGATTTATTCAAAAACAATTTCTTTCTTCTAGTTTAAAGCTAAAACTTATCATT